CACTGACTTTTAATCTGTTGCACCACCCCTTATTTTTGGGATACATCTCACTTGGTGGTAGTTTACAGTCTTTTGATTATACAGTATTGCTGCTGATATTTTGCTAATACTGCTAGTATTTTGCTGAGATTTTTGCTTATATATTCATAAGGAATATTATGCTGTAGTTCTCTTTTTTGTGCTGTCTCTCTCTTTGGTATCAGGATAATGCTGTTGTCAAAAAATGAATTAGAAGGTATTCCTTCTTCATACATTTTGTCGAAAGAGTTTCAGAAGAAATGGTATTCATTCTTCTTTAAACATTAAGTAGACTCACCAGTAATGCAGCTATTTGGTCATAAATTTTTCTTTGTTAAATCACTTTCAATTACAAATTCAATCTCCTTGTCTGTTATAGGTCTATTCAGATTTTCTCTTTCTTCTTGAGCCATTTTGGTAGTTTGTGTCTTTCTAGCAGCTCATCCATTTCATCCAGAGCACCTAATTTGTTGTTATACAGTTGTTCACAGTATAGTCCTATAATCTTTTTTTATTTGTATAAAGTTTGTTGTAACAGCTCCACTTTCACTTATGATTTTGATGAGTCCTCCATCTTTTGCTCAGTCAATATAGTTACAGGTTTGATCATTCAAAGAATCAACTTTTAGCTATGTTTATTTCTTCTACTGCTTTTCAGCCTTCTATTTTATTGCTTTATGCTCTAATCTTTATTATTTATTTCCTTCTGCTAGCTCTGGATTTAGTCTTTTTTTATTTTTTTCTACTGCCTTTACGTACACAGTGAGGTTACTGATTTGAGATTGTTTTCATAAGTGTAGTTGTTTATATTCATACATTTTCCTTTGAACTCTATTTTCACTGCATTCAATAAGTTTCGGTGTGTTTTGTTTTTATTTTAGTTTGTCTCACGATATTTTATAATTTTGCTTGTGATTTATTTTTTCACTCACTGGTAGTTTAAGAGTGTATTAATTTCCACATATTTGTGAATTTTCCAGTTTTCATTTTTAATTTATTGTTGTTTCTTTCACTGTGGTTGTAAATTGTATTTTGTATGATTTCAAACTTTCAAAAATAGGACATTATTTTGTGGCTGAATATGAGGCCTATCCTAGAGAAAGTTCCATATCCACTTGAAAAAAATGTCTATTCTGCTGCTGTTGGGTGAACTGTTCTTTATATGTGTATTAGCTCTAAATGACTTATACTGTTGTTCAAGTCTTCTTTACTCATGAAACTTCGGTCTGGTTTTCTATGCATTAATTAAAATGAGGTATTCAAGTGTTCAAT